CGGGGAGCCCCCCCCCCCCCCCCCCCGCACCACAGAACAGCAAGTGCCAAGGTTCAGAGGCCGGAGTAGCGGGCATCCAGGCAGAAGTTGAAATGACTGAAGTCCTGCGAGTCCTTACGTCTTCTGTGAAAATTAAAGGAATATGAAGTTCAAAAAGTGGCAAAAACTGAAGGGTGATAACAGATCTCGGCCTATGGGAAGATCAGACCTGCCCTCAGTCCACGCCCCTGGGTCTCTCATAGGGTAGCTCACAACCTGGCAGCTGGCTTCTTCATCAAAGTGAACAAGTGAGTAAGAGAGAGGAAAAAGTCCAGGGAGGACCAAAGTCATTGTCTGTTATAACTGAACCGTGAAAGGAACACTCCCTCACTCATGCCTTCAAAGAACTATCAGTAGGCCTGGTGCACTCACACAGAAAGGGGGTTACACAAGGGACTGTACTCACTGCTACTAAGAAGTTAGACATTGCCTAGAGCACAGACTTAACCCTCAGAACCAAAAAACTTTAAAAAAGAAGAGAGGAAACAATGGACAGTGTGCTATGTGGCTAGGATGAGATATTTAATAAATTAGGTATATTGTATGTGTGTGCTTGTGACACTGGATTGAACCCAGGGACATTCTGCCACTGAGCTACATCCCCAGTGCATGTGTGTGTGTGTGTGTGTGTGTGAGAGATAGGGTCTGACTAACTTATCCAAGCTGCCTTCGAACTCGTGGTCCTCCTTACTCAGCCTTTAGAGTAGTTGGGATTAAAGGCATCTTTGACGTGACTGTGTGTGTGTGTGTGTGTACACCAAACAAACAAGTTTAAATATGGAACGCTTCATGAATTTATGTGTCATCCTTGCAAAGGGGCCATGTTAATCTTCTCCATATTGTTCCAATTTTAGTATATGTGCTGCCAGAGCAAGTACCTGTCTTTTTTTTTTTTTTAGATATTTTTTGAGTTGTAGATGGATACGAAACCTTCGTTTTATTTATTTATTTTTATGTGATGCTGAAGATTGAAACCATGCCTCACATGTGCTAGGCAAGCGCTTTATCACTGAGCTACAACCCCAGCCCCAACCCTTCTTTTTTTTTTTTTAAGTATTTTTTAGTTGTAGATGGACACAATACCTTTATTTATCTTTATGTGGTGCTGAGGCTTGAACCCAGGGCCTCACACATGCTAGGCGAGTGCTCTACCACTGAGCCACAACCCCAGCCCCTCTTTTTTTTGCACCCCTAGGTCCAATCCCCAGTACCAAAAAAGAAAAGAAAGGCACCTAGTTGCTGTGTCCTCAAAGCAAAGGTCTTCCTCAAACCTTTTTTTTTTTTGGGGGGGGGTACTGGATATTGAAGGGCACTTTAACCATTTAACACCCCTGCCCTTTTTATTCTTTTTACTTAAATACTTTTTTCAGTTATAGATGGACACAATTTCTTTATTTTTATTTATTTATTTATTTATTTATTTTGGTGCTGAGGATCGAACCCAGGACCTCATGCATGCGAGGCAAGCGCTCTACCACAGAACTACGACCCCAGCCCCCTCTCCCAGTCCCCTTTTCCTTTTTGTATTTCGAGACAGGGTCTCACCAAGCTGCCAAGGCTGGCCTCAAACTTGTGATCCTCCTGCCTCAGCTTCCTGAGTCGCTGGGGTTACAGTGTGTGCCACAACCCCTCACTCTCTTTTCTTCTCTTTTCCTCAGGATTGACTGGCAGTGTAGCTCACTGTCACTGCCTCATCCCTTTGAGAGGATTGGACCACCTGTCACCCATTCAGGAAAAATTCCAATTGCAAAATTCAAAAAACATTCAGTATCTATGAATGTATATCACTTTTGCACCATCATAAAATTGAAAGATCATAAGTTGAATCATTGTAAGTTGGAAGTTTTCTGTATTTTGTTTTAGAGCAGCCCAAATGAAATAAGATGCCAACCAAGAGACTCCCCATCAGAGTTTAGTTAGTAGGAGTATCTCTCTTTTACTGTTGAGCAAAGGAAGAAAGAAGCTGGAGGCCAGTGTAGTTATGGACCTTGCTATTCACACCCTGTCCCCTTCTAGAGGTCACTGGCTCCTACCCTCATACCTACACTTACCCAGCATCTCAGACAGTAAACCAACACTCAGGAAGGTGAGGAGATGAAGAAAGACAAGACTGGCCTGATGCCAGACTGTCCTGAAGGTTTAGTTACCAAGCATCCCATCTTCCCTCCTGACCACGCTGAGTTGTTTTTCTGACATTTTAAAAATGGACAGCCTGGCCGGGCATGGTGGTGCAAGCCTGTAATCCCAGTGGCTTGGGAGGTTGAGGCAGGAGGATCAAAGCCAACCTCAGCAAAATCGAGGCACTAAGCAACCCATTGAAGACTCTGTCTCTAAATAAAATATAAAATGGGGCTGGGGATATAGCTCAGTGCCCCTGAGTTCAATCCCTGGTACCAAAAAAAGAACAGCCTAGGCTGGGGTTGTGGCTCAGTGGTGGAGCTCTTGCCTAGCACTTGTGAGGCACTGGGTTGGATCCTCAGCATCACATATAAATAAGTGAATAAAATAAGGGTATTGTGTCCACCTACAACCAAAAATNTTTATTTATTTATTTATTTATTTATTTTGGTGCTGAGGATCGAACCCAGGACCTCATGCATGCGAGGCAAGCGCTCTACCACAGAACTACGACCCCAGCCCCCTCTCCCAGTCCCCTTTTCCTTTTTGTATTTCGAGACAGGGTCTCACCAAGCTGCCAAGGCTGGCCTCAAACTTGTGATCCTCCTGCCTCAGCTTCCTGAGTCGCTGGGGTTACAGTGTGTGCCACAACCCCTCACTCTCTTTTCTTCTCTTTTCCTCAGGATTGACTGGCAGTGTAGCTCACTGTCACTGCCTCATCCCTTTGAGAGGATTGGACCACCTGTCACCCATTCAGGAAAAATTCCAATTGCAAAATTCAAAAAACATTCAGTATCTATGAATGTATATCACTTTTGCACCATCATAAAATTGAAAGATCATAAGTTGAATCATTGTAAGTTGGAAGTTTTCTGTATTTTGTTTTAGAGCAGCCCAAATGAAATAAGATGCCAACCAAGAGACTCCCCATCAGAGTTTAGTTAGTAGGAGTATCTCTCTTTTACTGTTGAGCAAAGGAAGAAAGAAGCTGGAGGCCAGTGTAGTTATGGACCTTGCTATTCACACCCTGTCCCCTTCTAGAGGTCACTGGCTCCTACCCTCATACCTACACTTACCCAGCATCTCAGACAGTAAACCAACACTCAGGAAGGTGAGGAGATGAAGAAAGACAAGACTGGCCTGATGCCAGACTGTCCTGAAGGTTTAGTTACCAAGCATCCCATCTTCCCTCCTGACCACGCTGAGTTGTTTTTCTGACATTTTAAAAATGGACAGCCTGGCCGGGCATGGTGGTGCAAGCCTGTAATCCCAGTGGCTTGGGAGGTTGAGGCAGGAGGATCAAAGCCAACCTCAGCAAAATCGAGGCACTAAGCAACCCATTGAAGACTCTGTCTCTAAATAAAATATAAAATGGGGCTGGGGATATAGCTCAGTGCCCCTGAGTTCAATCCCTGGTACCAAAAAAAGAACAGCCTAGGCTGGGGTTGTGGCTCAGTGGTGGAGCTCTTGCCTAGCACTTGTGAGGCACTGGGTTGGATCCTCAGCATCACATATAAATAAGTGAATAAAATAAGGGTAYTGTGTCCACCTACAACCAAAAATATTTTTTAAAAAATGAACAGCCTGACTCATACAAATGAATTTGAGGACATGCAATTACATGCAGGAAGAGCAGGAAGAACAAAAGCTTTTAGGGGCCCAGAAAGAGAATTATTTCTGGTGTGAAAGATCAAGTTGTTTTGTTTAAAAAAAAAAAAAAAATCCCTCCAAAGGAGTGAAGGCCAGACTCCAGAGAGGCCATGAGAGTGTCTGCCCCAGAAGCTTGTGAGAAACGTGGCCTTGACCTCGCCTTCCTCCCCCAGCCCACATCATTCCACGCAAATTGTACTCTAGTGACCTTTGCTGGTGAGCTCTCCAGTTCCTGCCAAAACACTGCCAAGATCCAAGATCTCCACGGAAACTATTTATTTATTCAGGCCAGGCATCAGCGTTCGTCTTGGGAGAAGGTGACTCCAATGATCTTCCTCACCTCCTGGAGGATCTCAGCCAGAAGCTCACTTTCTGCCAGAGGAATGATGGGACTTTCCTTGAGRCCTGAGGAGAGAAGGCAGTTAGGGACCCTCCAAGTCAAACACCACAACCAAAAAGAAAACAAAAACAAAAACAAAAAAACCGATCATTCCCAGAGTCCCCCAGGCACAGGCAYGGTTTAGATAGGTGGGTGCCCCAGGGCATCCTGGGAAATGTAGTTCCAAACGGGCCACCTGCGCGTCTGAAGGTGGGTGGACAGGACCCAACCCCTTCCAGGCCTGGCCCCTGCGGTGGCCTCCGCAGTCTTACCTTTGCGCAGGCACTCGCGGACGTGAATGGCCTCGTAGCTCATGCCTGACCCATTTTCAAAATTATACTTCTTTGGGTCTTGGGGCAGCGGGAACTCCTTATGCTCATCATTCACCACCAACTTTGTTGGACACCAGGATGGGAAAACCTGGGGGAAGATAGAAAATGGCTTGCCATCCTCTCCAACAGGGCTGCTAGGGACTTCCACCCTAGAGCATGCCAGGTGAGGCTCGGGGGCCTCCCTAAGGGCCCTGGTGACTGAGGGCATGCCCGGTCCATCCCAGGTTTGTGCCCTCCCCCCCCTTCCTGGTTGCCAGAGGTTTGTTCCTTAGGGGTGCCACTGTCACACTAGAATCCTGTTKTCTCCCCAACAACAAACTTCTGTGCTTGCGGACAGGTGCTCCTTATGAAGCCAGATTTAAAGAGAGGTCGTATAGTTAGGTAAATGGGGTCTCACATCGAGTAGGATAAACAAAATGGAGGCCATTATAGAGAGTGGAGCCCAGGAAAACAGAGCAGCACTYGGGGAAATTGAAATGTTCAGGTTCCCAAGGCCCAGAGCCCATCCTAAGGAAATGTTAATGAAGCAGCTCCCAGCAAACAAGGAGGTGCTAATCAAAAGCCGCCCCAGGCCCTTCCTGCCCAGATTACTCCTCCAGCCCT